CAAACCGTTTTAAATAAGGAAAAAAGCTCTTACAAGTACATGAAGAAGAATCCTGTTTCCAATTGTAAGCACAGGGGACTTTAGAAAAGCAGAAATACATTGTCCTAAGTGGAATTTGGCTGGGGTTCAGTTTAGCAGTGAAATACATTTCTGCTTTTAAAAATGCCGTGGGCTCTCAAATGACCAGAAAGGGTCAGGCGCTCTCCTCTATATCCCATCTGAAAAATGGCACCTTCAGCATCCCCTGCTGAGTCATTGGCTTGGCGCCATCCATTGAAACATGACACTATTCTGGCAGTTGCCTGGGGTTTCCGTGGAATTCTCCCGTCCACAAATCGACAAAACCCGATCCCCTCCTAGCTTGTAAAACCTGACAAAAATTCACCCGCCAGGGTAGCATGGCTGTGGGTAAAGAAGCGAAAAGAGGTTTCTACAAGCCTACCTACGGCTCTGGTGCATATCTCACTAGCAGAAAGAGATGCTAGGTTTGTAGAGAAAAATGTAACAACAGCAAGCAGTATAGGAATGCCAATTAAACTGTTTTCTATTGTTTCTTTCTCTTTAGGATACCTGTTACTCGCCCGTGGCTATTAAAATAGATTGCATGGATGAAATATAAATAGCAATAGTTAGCATATACAGGGTTTGGTTCTCCTTAGCGCAGGTGCAGGGTGCTGTACATAACAGGGCAAGTACAGGTGAACCCCCATCCTGGGTGAATGAGAGAGGCAGCTGCATAGTCGCCATGTTTCTCTTGCTTCACAGTGGTCTAGGGAGATGGCAGAGTATAGAGCCCCCTTGGTGTGACGTGGATTCCATTTAAGCGCATGTCTCACCGAACACGCCCATTCTCCGCTCAGGCCCTGGTGCTTTTTATCAGGTGCTGTTGAATGTAAGGGCTGACATACGAGCTTCTGATTTATTTCCCCTTTGCAGGAAAGCCTGCCAAGCGTCTAACCTCCCTTGGGCCAATGCCTCTCCTCAAATCACACTTAGGGCCTGAGTCAAAGCCCGTTAAAGTCCACCACTCCAACCGACCTCTTACACTGGATAACAACCTTGCCTGGATAGCATTGCTGTATAGCACTCTTCACATATAAGATGCAGATAGATAAATGTCTATCAGGGATGGTCTAGACAGTATTTGGTCCTGCCATGCAGGCAGGGGACTGGACTCGATGACCTCTCGAGGTCCCTTCCAGTCCTAGAATCTATGAATCTATGCTTTACAAATATTCTGTCATTGGTCAGCCCTCCTCCTCGCTGGAACAATAATTGCATATGGGATCCTTGAGACCATGTTCTCCATTTCCCTCATGCCGTAGCGTGTTGGAGGGGAAAAGGGGTTGATGGCTCTTAATGTGCTTATTAGCCTGGCATGCTTTAATAATATATAATATTATACTCTCCTCAGTGACTTTCAAGGTTCGCTTGGGACGCCTTTCCTTTTTTGCGGTTCTCTGACGTTTATTTTCTTCAAGACCGATTCGGGGGCCCTCGCTCCTGACAGGTGGCACATTTGTCCTGGAATCTTCGCATGGGCTCCGAGTTTGATCCTGTCGCTCATGACGAATGGCATTCTGCACCAGGATGAGCCTTACTGCCTTCCTCAGCACTGAAGTGTTATTCCGTGCAAGGATCTCACATTGCAGCACATCACCTGCTTGTCTTCATTTTCAAGACCCTTCAAGGCCTATCCCCACCCAACCTGTCATCTCTCATTCACTACCCACATATCAGCTCCCAGCTCTGATCAGTCGATACCAGCTTCCACTGTCCACTTGTTCAATTTTCAAACAAGCACCCTCATGTTTTCTCCCCTGCTGCCTCTCATGCTTGGGTGGCCCGTCCCGTAAACATCCACAAAACCACTTCATTGCCCTCCTTAAAACTCTTCTTTGCTACGATGCCTACACAAAACTCAACAGCGGTTAGGCCAGCTGACCAACGCTGTGGCCTTATTTCCTTGCACTTCCCTTCTGCCAGTTGTATTCACCTGTTGGCTTTTGTCTTCTACGTATATTGTGAGCTCTTTGTGGCAGGGACCATCTGTTTAGTCTGTGTTTGTACAGCGCCTAGCACAGTGGGGTCTAAGTCAAGGACAAGGGCTCCTAGGCGCTATGATAGAACGATTAGTAGTTCTATTAGTAGAAATACAGGAGAGGTCCCAAGTTCAGGGTCCCATAGTGGCAATTCACCAATGCACAGCAAGGGCTAGTTCCTCCCCCCAGACCTTGCAGTCTAAATAGACTAGACAGATGTGAAGCAATTTTTTTAAGGCATCACAGCCAGGGCATTGAGAAAAATTTGGGGCCTGGGTACATCATGTTCGTGGGACCCCACCCCTTCCCATTTCCCTTTATTTACACAGACTTTCTGAGGGCCCCCCTCCCCCGAGCTTGGGTCCCCAGTACAATTGTCCCCACTTCCCCCCACTCTCATGTAGGGGGACCACCCATCCCTTATTTTAAGGGACTGTCCTTTATTTCATTGATTTATCACTTCGGGTGATCACTCGTCCCTTCTTTGACTATGTATTGACATGTGTTAACACTGATCGTTAGTACCGTTTGAAACATTACACTGAAGCTTATAATCATTGCTTAGCATACTTGAGGGCAGTAGAAACGTACAGTTGAGAGAAAAACAACAGGATCTGCTAAGGGAAGTGGTGTTTCCTAAAACATCCCTTAAAATAAAGCCTTGTCCCTTATCTTTCATCTGGCTTTTCCTTATTTCCATGCAGCGAAGGTAGTTTCCCTACTCTCATCAACCCTGTTCACAGCAAATCGCTCCCAGAGCCGGGACTAGGACTCAGGTCTCCTAGGACAGTGTCCTAACCATTGGACAACACTGCCCTTCACCCCGGTGCTAGTCACAATGAAGGATGGCAGAATCTGGCCCTATATTTCCTCCCGATTTTGATCACCCATATACGTTTCCCTTCCCGAAGTTAGGGGTAGCTGGTTATTCTTCACCCTTCAAATCTTAATAGGGCAGATGCAGACTGTTATGCAGAATATGGCCAAGGATCTGAGTTATAGGTTTCAGTAACATCATAAAGCAAAGGATTTTATTATTTCCCAGTGGTTGAAAAATAGGTCTCTGCTTTGGAGGGAGAAAAAAAAATCTCATATTAATCATATGAATATTAATTTTGAAGCCTTTCTGTTTTAAATGGTTCATTGTCAAAAGCAGTAGTGCAGTTTTTGCCATCTATTTCCTGCTCCCCACCCCTCCAGCAGTGTCCCCTTTAAGTTAGCCTCTACTGTTCCCAGGTAAGGAGTGGTACCCTAGTGCAGACAGCTCCTTATGTATGCACTGCATGCCTGACTGCAGAACCAATTGTAAGTCGTTGCCTTCCACCCTCCCACCCCCACCGTTAACCAGAGGTTTACCACACACTGTGAGAACAAGTATCGGGGGTAGCCGTGTTAGTCTGTATCTACAAAAACAACAAGGAGTCTGGTTAGTTAAAGACTAACAGATTTATTTGGGCATAAGCTTTCATGGATAAAAACCTCACTTCTTCAGATGCATAGAGTGAAAGTTACAGATGCAGGCATTATATACTGACACATGGAGAAAAGGGAGCTACTTCACAAGTGGAGAACCAGTGTTGACAGGGCCAATTCAATCAGGGTGGATGTAGTCCACTCCCAATAATAGATGAGGAGGTGTCAATTCCAGGAGAGGAAAAGCTACTTCTGTAATGAGCCAGCCAGTCCCTACTCAAGCCCAGATTAATGGTGTTAAATTTGCAAATGAATTTCAGTTCTGCTGTTTCTCTTTGAAGTCTGTTTCTGAAGTTTTTTTGTTCAATGATAGTGACTTTTAAATTTGTAATAGGATGACCAGGGAGATTGAAGTGTTCACTTACTGGCTTTTGTATGTTACCATTTCTGATGTCCGATTTGTGTCCATTTATTCTTTTGCAGAGGGACTATCCGGTTTGGCCAATGTACATGGCAGAGGGGCATTGCTGGCACATGATGGCATATATAACATTAGTAGATGTGCAGGTGAATGAGCCCTTGATGGTGTGGCTGATGTGGTTGGGTCCTCTGATGGTGTCGCCAGAGTAGATATGGGGACGAGGTGAGAACGGATGCTTCATATTTCGAGTGAAAAGGGTTAAGCAAACACAACCTTTTCCTCAATGCATGTAATCTTCCCTCTGTCTTCCGAAATCATGCTAAGCACTCTGAAATGTGTGGAACGGCTCACATGCCTGCAATGAGCTTGATTTTGAATGAGGTCTGTGCATGCAACTAACATTGGTACTTTTTGCAAAAAGAGAGAGAATCAACCCACCCCCAAAAACCTCAATGAGCATGAAATAGGCCAAAGGATGGGGCTCTTCTCTCCCGCTTGCTTCTAACCTTAGATGATCCAGGAATGCATGAAACCATAAAACGGTACAGAGAAAAGGGGAGGGGAGGTGTGATTTGAAAAATGCTAAGATCAGATGACACCATAACAACATCTGATAAGCACTAGCTTATATAGAATATAGAAAGACAGTGAAATAAAAATCAATATGCTAAAACAATATTTCTGCTGCTAAATGAACCTTGGTTGTTGGGTTTTTGTTTGTTTGTTTGTTTGTTTGAATGGACAGAGGAAAAATAACTGTGTAAAAAAAATCAAGGTTGGTTTGTTTTGTCTTGCAGAGGAAATTGGGTCCAATAAGATGCTTGTCACTTATGCAGCACTAATACGCTGCTCATGGCTTTTAAAAAAAAGATTCTTGAGAGTGGCTGAGAGGGTCAGATTCTCCCACAGAGTCATTGCAGGGAGGAATGTGAGGAGAGGAAGAAAAAAAAATGGGATCAATTTTAACCTTCCCTAATTTGGGCCTGTTAAAAAAGGGTTAAGCGAAGCAGTTGAATGCTGCAAGCCTTGTCAGGGTTGTACTATTTCCTCTAGTACATAAGGAGAAGGGTGAGGAGAATTCGAAGGAAACTGGGAGATTTCAAACAAAAGGGGGGGGTCTGGAGAAAAGCCTCCAAGGGTGACAATGAAGAGGCAGCACCAGAGGCATAATTGCCCAAGTGGAGGCAGAAATCTCTGCCTAGGAGAGTGAGAGCTAAGGTCCTATTCCACCTGACTCCCCCTACCTAGTTCTGTAATCCTGGCTCAGAGTAGGCAAGCGAGGCTGCTGTCTGCAGCTGAAGAAAGGATGCTAGAGATTCTCTCTTTAGGAGGAAAAATGGTTGGTTGGACTTCTCTGCAATAAGAAACACCATCCTCCAAAGAAACGTCCCAGCTGCCTGAGATTGTCTGGTTTTGACCAAGTTCGATGCAGGGAAGCTGATGACAACATGTTGTGCCAGGGACTCGGGCGTGAAAGTCTCAGTGACAATTTCTGGCTGCAAAAGTTGAGTTCACCTGGGGCTTTTTGTGGGCTGTTTGGAGAGCCAGGCTCAAGAGCTGACGCTGAGCATCCTACCCAGCTGTCAAGGAAAGCCTCTGCAAAGCCGCTAGTGCATGGGAGTCAAGTAGCAGGCTTCATCCCAAGGCAACTCGGATGTGCGGCATGACTGCGAACCTGGCGCAGTGGCACAGGAGCTGAGCATGGCAGGGGGCATGGTCTGCTGTTTGCCTTGGTGAGGAGAAAGAAGATCGAGATCACATTGTGCAGCGCCCGGCACCAGGCTGCAGCTGCGACCCCCAGCGCCAATTCCCACGTGCAGGGTGGCTTTCGCCCTGTGCTGGGGGCCGCCCCGCGTGCGGCAGACAGAGAGGCAGCTCTGTTTTTTCGGGTGGCCATTGGTGCTCTCTGCCCCTCTCCCTTGTTGCACTATGGGGCAGTGAGGAATTATAAAACAGCATGCAGGAGGAAGAGGGCTGCCTCTAGGAACTGGGTCTTTTGCAGATGCCGCTTTAAAGCACCCACCAGCTCTTTACCGTACTGCTGTTTTTTCCAGGCAACGCCACACCTCCCGAGGACACTGGGGACATCAGGTTTTTTGCTGAGCTTAGCATCTTTCCACCATCATAGAGAAAGCTTCAGATAGACACTGATCTGCCCTGAAGTAAAGAGCTGCAACAGCCATCAAGAGGCTTTTCCTCCTTTGCCTGTCCAATCCCACCCCATTACCAGACCTAACCTGCACAATCTGGAGAGCTAACCCCCCCCCACCCTTCCTACGATGACTCACCATTATTTTGAACTTTGAAGAGAGGAACTTATGGGGATCTTGGAAGCCTGTATCTCTCTCTAGGATTTCCCCAGAGTCAATTAATCTGTGTCACTAAGAGACACTGAGATTTGCTTCTCCAGGTAATGCGATTTGTTTTCTGTACGCAGTGGTCGTTTGCAAAGAAGGAGGGGAGAGGAGCCACAGAAAAAAAATCTCGAGGATGGGAAATGCAGTAGTCAAACTGTCAGCTAGCACAGGTGTTTGCAAATTAACTAGCCGCAAAAAAATAAACCAAACCATTTGGCTGTAAAGCCTAAAGAGAGAGAGAAAAATTATCATAGGGAAGCATGTTGGCTTGCAATTTTATTTCCAGTGCAAAAGAACGGTGAACGTGTTTAACTTTAAGTTGGAGACATTAATGTGCTCCTTTAGGTTAACACTGAATTGCCTGCTATTGCATGGTTGATTTCTAACCCTTAAGTGCATGAGCAGAATCTATTGATATCATATTCATTTTCACTGGCATCCAGAGTTTAGTCCCTTGAATAGAAAAGAATTCAGTGATTTTTTCTTGTATTTTTTAAAAAAAGTTTGGTTTTGCCAATGCAAATGTTTCCCTCGTTTTCATTAGAAAGGTTTCCTCAAGTGCTTTTTCATCAGCACCGGATATTGGGACCGGAGTTTTCAAACTCTGCACCAAGAAAGCAAATTAAAATCAGCTGAGGAATATGCTGTATATTCTGCCAGGTGCAGGTTCCTAATACACACAACTTTAATTCGTCTCTCTCTTTCTCAGCAGGCTAAAATATTTCCCCCTCCCCGATCATCCCTCTGCATTTTCATGAGCCACTTCCAAACCTATGAACTTGTCCTTTCCCAGGAGAGTAACCTTCCCCTGAACCTGATCCCAGCACCGGGCAGCCGGAAGAGTTTAGATTAAGGATTGCTTTTAAACCTAAATATGACAGTTGCTACTGGAGACCCCACAGATGAAGCGGCAGCTTTGGCAGGTCATCCTCAGGACACCTATAACCCTGAAACCGATCATGAATGCTGTGAGAGGGTGGTCATTAACATCTCGGGGCTGCGGTTTGAAACGCAACTCAAGACGCTAGCTCAGTTTCCAGAGACCTTGCTAGGGGACCCTAAAAAGAGAATGAGATATTTCGATCCTCTCCGGAATGAATATTTCTTTGACCGAAACAGACCCAGCTTTGATGCTATTTTGTACTACTACCAATCGGGTGGCAGGTTAAGGAGGCCTGTCAACGTGCCCTTAGACATCTTCTCGGAGGAGATCAGGTTTTATGAACTCGGGGAAGAAGCCATGGAGATGTTCCGAGAGGATGAAGGATACATTAAGGAAGAAGAAAGGCCTTTACCGGAGAACGAGTTTCAGAGACAAGTGTGGCTGCTCTTTGAGTATCCAGAAAGCTCAGGGCCCGCCAGGATTATAGCTATTGTCTCTGTCATGGTGATTCTAATCTCCATCGTGAGCTTTTGCCTGGAAACACTGCCTGTTTTTCGGGATGACGAAGACCTGCATGGTGGTGGGATGAGCCATCACCCCTACTCCAACAGTACCATGAGCTATCAGCAGTCGACCTCTTTCACAGACCCTTTCTTTATAGTAGAGACACTTTGCATCATTTGGTTCTCCTTCGAGTTCTTGGTAAGGTTTTTCGCCTGCCCCAGCAAGGCTGGGTTTTTTACCAACATCATGAACATTATTGACATTGTAGCTATCATCCCGTATTTCATCACTCTAGGGACCGAACTGGCTGAGAAACCAGAGGATGGCCAGCAAGGCCAACAGGCCATGTCTCTGGCCATCCTTCGAGTCATCCGCTTGGTGAGAGTTTTTAGGATCTTCAAACTGTCCAGGCACTCCAAAGGGCTGCAGATCCTGGGGCAGACACTCAAGGCCAGCATGAGGGAACTAGGTCTCTTGATATTTTTCCTCTTCATTGGCGTCATCCTCTTCTCCAGCGCCGTCTACTTCGCAGAGGCTGATGAGAGCGAGTCTCAGTTTCCCAGCATCCCAGATGCGTTCTGGTGGGCTGTGGTTTCCATGACCACAGTTGGCTATGGAGACATGGTCCCCACGACCATCGGTGGGAAAATAGTGGGCTCCTTATGCGCCATTGCAGGTGTATTAACGATTGCCTTACCAGTACCAGTCATAGTGTCCAACTTCAACTACTTCTATCACCGCGAGACGGAAGGAGAGGAGCAAGCCCAATATTTGCAAGTGACCAGCTGCCCAAAGATCCCTTCTTCCCCTGACCTAAAGAAAAGCAGAAGTGCCTCCACTATTAGTAAGTCTGATTATATGGAGATACAGGAAGGTGTAAATAATAGTAATGAGGACTTTAGAGAGGAGAACTTGAAGACAGCCAATTGCACCCTGGCTAACACAAATTACGTTAATATCACCAAAATGCTAACTGATGTGTAGTCCTGAAAACCTGTTAACATATTTAAAGCTGAAGTGGAACAATTGCAGATATTGCATAATACCCTGCATTGTAGTTAAAACAGTATGTTCTACAGCGTGCATTTGGTTCTGCATGGGAAGCAATAGTTGTGTAAGTGACTTTCTAAACTTCTTATTTAGACACTGAATAAGCTTTCTTGCAAAAATTGTTTTTTTACATCACAGGTTTATGGGTTTCCAGAGACATAGAGCATGTAGGCATTCAAAACAAAATTATATCACTTGCAATCCCAAGGATATTGAACAAAAAAGTCATTCGAGAAACCTCATGTAAACAACAGTACCCACAAATGTCAAGCAGAAAAAGTGTTTCACTGCACTCGACACATACAAAAATATATCCCAAGGAAATAGCACACATCTAGCTTCCAAGCGTATGGATTCATAATGAAAAGGTCATGCATAGTTTAATTAAAGGAACATACATCCAGGCGTCCAAATTACTTTAAGGCTCAGATTTCTGCCTTGGAAATGCCAACCAAGAATACATCATGCAGGCTTGTGTTTCATAACTGAAAATGCTGCATGCTGCAATGGTTTCATCCACTGCAGTATGTCAGTGTGAGACCTAGGGGAGAGAGAATTAGCATGACAGAACACTATTTATTAAGTCTTAAATTTTCTATGCCGGCGATAGGAAGGGATACATAAACAAATCAAGAGCCTGCTTTTTATTTGGGTTTTTTTTTTAGATGACACTTCCATCTTCACTATCTTCAGGGTCACCAAAGACACATCCACTGACACATTCAAAATGAGTTGAAAAAGCATATTTTTTTGGAATACTGGAGCAAACTATGCTGTGGCCTATAATATATTTATACTGCAGTGAAATTTAATCAGTAATACAGTACTGCTGCATGGATATTTGTTGCATGACAATATTGAATACACATACAAATATATTTTTTCTTAGTAGACTATACAGTATTCATGTTTATAGTGTTTATAGATTCTCCGATGACTTGAAGGAGATTCATGGAAGTAAAAAGAAAAACAAGGCTGGATTAGGGCAAGGCATGGGCTGACTAAATTTGAGAAGCAAGGCAAAGCTTTCTGGGTGCTTCCTGGTAGTCACTGAAACGGAGCAAAGAATTGTACAAGTGAAGGAAGGTGAGCTGAAAGTTAAGCACCTGTGCTCATCACGTGGGGAGGAACTAGTAATTAATCTTGGTGTTACAAGCAGAATTCCACGGCTGACCAGAGATGGTACAAAGGACAGGTGGCATTGTGTGTTAAAGAACTCCTGACTCTATTGTTCTGCAACCATCAGCTTCATTATATATTATCATGTTGTATATAGAAAGACAGGGACAGATCCTCAGCTGCTGTGAATTAGCTTTATCAGAACCACAGCAATTGACACCAGCAGAGGATTGGGCTTGATGTATGTAATATATATATGTGATATACATTCAAATGTTCTATGAGCTTATGCAATATAACACTGGCACAAAGCAATTTATAGGCCAGATCCTCCGCTGGTGTAAACTAGTTTCAATGGAGCTACAGTACTAAGCAACACCAGCGGAGGAGTTGGCTTGGGTATGACTAGTTGTAATACGGGATATAGGAGTTCAGGTTTGGAGTGGAAAACTATTGCCCTGCGATTGACCTCTGCTCCGAAACAATATACCAACAGCCCGCAGCTCTTGGGCAGAATGGCCCAAGCTCTGCCCTCACTGGCACACACTGAAGTCAATGAGATTACACGGGTGTCAGTGAAGGTGGGATCCGGCCTGCTTCCCAGATGGCCCCTTGCTTTCAATTAGTGGGGCAAGAGTTTCCCATTATTATAAAGCTCCACCTTCTAGCACACCTTTTGAAAATGCACCCGGGTCCTAACTGTGCTGCAGCTTCAGCTGGCCTGTGCTGAGCCCTCTCTGTTTTGGCTCACAGAGGGCGTGCAGCCCTCTCACCCTAAAGCAGAACTCCTTCGCTTTGGGCCGCACCTTGTAATCCCCTCCCAGAATAGAACTTCCCTTGAAATCAATGGGACTTTCCCCAGAGCGCAGGGAACTCGCCTCTGTGCAGAGAGTCCGCAAAAGGACTGCTCAACAATTCAGACCCACAGGCCAAATGTGATGTACCGGCTTTGCACAGGGGTGAAGGCAGGGCTGGATCTAAAGACTGGTCCAGTGATTCCCTAGATCCTGGAGCACTTATTCTGTATTGACTCAGTCTTCAAGCCCGCAACTTCCCCCACTCCATTGATTGCAGTGGAAGTTCTGCCTGAATAAAGAACTCAGGGCTTGCCCCATTCCCTTTCCAATCCCGGTCTTCTTCCAGAATAGTTGGGAGCCTCCCATTGCTCCCACGAATGTTTCAAGTGGATTATAGTGATCTGTCCCTTTCCCCAGGCACGTGCTTATTTACTTCCCGTTTTCCCATAGTTTCCACGTCCAGAAGCGTAGCTGACAATCCGAACAGCGGCAGGAGAGAAAGGAATTTCCCCATTGTTTGATAAACCAACCAACAGAGGCAATCTTCTTTTCATACATGTGCCACGGCATCAGAGAGTGCCCGGCCGCAAGATCTGTGGCGAAGATCTCAGCCACTAGCTAGCTGGTCAGTAGAACTCTGAAACCAGCGATTATTTACCTTGTTTAGGCCTCAGGCTAGGGAAGCATTTAAGGACGTGCTTAAACTTAAGCACATGCTAAGTGGTATGCTGAATCGGGGCCTTAGACTCCCGTTGCACTTTGGATCAGGCAAATCGATTTCTACCTATCGTCATTTTCATAGGCCGCCGTGAGAGAAAGGATTATTTCTAATATCCCTGATAAAATCCAGGTACTACCCTAGTCATCAGCAATGGTTCCAAACATTGCTCTGGTCCCAATTCTCCTCTCACTTACAGTAGTTTCACGCCACTGGTCCAAATGAAGTTAGTCTTGATTTACACCTGTGCAAGGGAGAGATGATTGACTCCAGCCCAATAGGACTGGTACTACAGAACTTTCTCCAGTTAGGGCAAAAGGGCCTGACTCCTGCAAGGTGCAAAGCACTTTCAGCTCCAGTGCCCTTCAGTGGCAGTGCCTGGCACTCAGCACCACGCTGCACTACTGCAGCGGATGTATTTTTTTAAATGAGGGATCTTAATTCTCTTGCTTCACTGGTGCAAGCAATGAACAACAAAAGTGCATTTTTTGCCTTGTTCATTTAAACCCAATCATTTTTACCTCTAAAAATGTAATATAAAAAATAAAAATAAAAAGCAATAAACCTTATTAAAAGAATAATTACATCATATTCTATAGCAATGGTCCTAAACCAGTGCCACTTGCAGCTCAGTCTGAATTCCCAGTGAGGCCAGCCAGCCTAAATCGATCAGTCGGCCCCCACCATTGTAGCATCTGAGCACCTCATAATCTGTAATGTATTTACCCTTACAGCACCCCTGTGAGGTGGGGCGGTGTATTATCCTCATTGTACAGATGGGAAACTGAGGCAGAGTGATACTAAGGGCCAGATTTTAAAAGGTATTTAGGCACCTAGAGATCTCGCCCTCTGGTGGGATTTTCAAAAGTGCCTAGGCACCGAACTCCCATTGACATCTGTATCTTTGGGTACGTCTACACTCTATTGTAAACCAGGTCTATGGGACACAGGCTTGTGGACTTGGTGTTTCCAAGCCCGTGCTTGAGTGTCCCTACTGCATTGTAAATCTGGGTTTCTAATTGCCGAATGGGGGTCTCACAGCCATGCTGACTCATCTATACTGCACTACACAGGCCTTGCGACTCAAGTCTTGTGCAGCACAAGCTTGTGCTGCATCAACACTGCAAAATGACAGGGCTTGGACCTGAGACACAGCAAGACTCAAGCTCTGCCCCCCCTGCCCCCAGCAGGGTCCTAGGACCTGGGTTCTGCGTGCTTGGTGACCCGAGTCAGACTGATTTGTGTGTAGACGGAAGGGGGCTCAAACCTGAGTCAGAACCTGGGTTTGCTGTGCAGTGTAGACATACCTTTTAGGAGCCTAAATATCTTTGTGGATCTGGGCCTAAGTGACTTGCCCAAAGTCACACAGGACATCTGTGGTAGAAGAACTGACACACAGAGAGACTGTGGGTAAAACAAAAGTGTCCAAGTCTAATTTTCAATAAAACGTTGGGTAACATTTTCAAAAGTGCCTCAACCCCATTGGCTTTCAATAGGATGAAGGTTCCTGAATCACTTAGGCACTTTTGAAAATTTTACCCTAAATGACTCACCCAGGCTATCCGTGGTAGAGCATGAACATGAATCCAGATCTCTTGAATACCAGCAAGTGCCCAAGCCACCAGAGTACCCTGCCTCCTTCCGGACTGCTCTTTTGGTCCTTAATGATTTTTATAGCTGCATTGGGTGACCTTCACCCCTCATGTAGAAGACCAGTATAAGGCCTGTATACCACCTTATCTTAAGGGCTTAGGTGGGTTAGAGGTCTCATGCTGTTCCTTTGCCCGGGGTAAATATCATCCTAGGTGAGTAGGGAACACCAAGAACTGGTCCAGTGGTTGATTTGCCCCCAATGTTTTGGGCATAAGGGATATCACAACAAAGTGTACAGTGCTGTTCTTACACTTAGCCACGGCTATCATTGTCTGTCTTTCTCTCTGGATAGACGAACCAATTGAGATAAAATCAGGGCCGGCGCAGTGGTCGCCTAAGGCGCTAACATTTGGGGGGGCGGCAACCGTGGCGGCCGGATCTTCGGCCGCCCCAGTCATCATCGGCATTTTGGGGGTGGGGCCTTCCGCCGCCTATGGCAGCAAAAAAGCTGGCGGCGCTCCTGGATAAAATACAGATCTGCCCAAACCTTCATTTAACGAGCTCTAATCAATGCCCTTCCCCCAAATATTCTGAGTTTCCCAGGAGTTTGGTGAACTTTAAAATAATGCTCACTGAAGCCAGGAGTGATGGCTTAATCCCTTCCATTGCCTTGAGCCAGATGAAAATTATTACCACCTGGCTCAGTGCACCTAAAGGCAGGAAGGAATATATGTGGCTAATGCTCTGCTCTGGGTAGACTGCCTTGGCAATAAGAACAGGAGTACTTGTGGCACCTTAGAGACTAACAAATTTATTTGAGCATAAGCTTTCGTGGGCTACAGCCCACTTCATCAGATGCATAGAATGGAACATATAGTAAGGAGATATATATGCACACATACAGAGAACATGAAAAGGTGGGAGCTGTCCTACCAACTCTAAGAGGCTAATTAAGAGAAAAAAATTTTGTAGTGATAATCAAGATAGTCCATTACAGACAGTTTGACAAGAAGTGTGAGAATACTTAACATGGGGAAATAGATTCAATGTGTGTAATCACTACAAAAGTTTTTTTCTCTTCATTAATTAGCCTCTTAGAGTTGGTAGGACAACTCCCACCTTTTCATGTTCTCTGTATGTGTGTATATATATCGCCTTACTATATGTTCCATTCTATGCATCTGATGAAGTGGGCTGTAGCCCACGAAAGCTTATGCTCAATAAATTTGTTAGTCTCTAAGGTGCCACAAGTACTCCTGTTCTTTTTGCGGATACAGACTAACACGGCTGCTACTCTGAAACCTGCCTTGGCAATGGTGCAGCATTTGAAAACAGGCCCGATGTCAAACTTTAAGAGCTTTAAGAGTCCACAGTGGGCTCACAGGGAACAGTGTCCTCATGACAGGGGGCTATGGCAAAGAGAAGGGGCCAAATGTAGCCCAGGCATCAGGGCCGGCTTCAGCATTTCTGCCGCCCCAAGCAAAAAAAAAAAAAGCCACGATCGGCTTGTGGGGATTGAGCCTAGAGCTCAGGTACTGTTCCTAGCTTTGTTTCTGACTCACCTGTGTGACCCGGAAGAAGTGTTCAAAAGTGGCATCTGATTTTAGTTTGAGGGACTTCAGGCCTGATTTTCAGAGCTACCAACTCTCTTTGACGTCCACAGGAAATGGAAATCAGGCCCACAGCATCTCACATCAGGCCCCCCTAACTGTGGCACTTAGGACCCTCCTGATTTGTCCAAGGCCACAGAGAGAGGCAGCGTCAGAGCCGGGATTAGCACACAGGTCACTTTCTAACACCTAACCCCGATGCGCAGATTGCTAGGCAACGCATAAAATCTCTCTCTTTTTAATGCCTTAAAAAAATAGCATTTGCTCAAAGGGCAATCACATTAGGCTGAGGGACTGGTGAATTTCCATCATAGCTGATAGGAAAAAATATCTATGTAGATAGTACTGTGGGTACAGGCTTTATCAGACGTACTTATCTCTGCAGCTAGTTTTATGTCCTTTTCCAAGGCCTACTCAAACACTATGCTATATCAAGAAAAAGATCCTAAGAATGGTGTTATGAGAGTGTAGCACGTGGGAGTATAAATATGAGCATATTTGTGCATAAATACACGGAAGGAGAGAAAAAGACAGAGGAGGAAGTATTTTAGAAAGGGTCTTGCTTCGTGACCAGGTGGTTCCTAGATCAGCCACTGAAATTACTGCCAAAATCTCCTAGAGTTTCTGGAGTTCGCAATACAGTTAGAGGTGGGCCCAAGCTGAGAAACAGATCCGGATCAGAATTTGAAATGGGTTGAATCAAACACCTTTCCCGCTTGACTAATGAGGAAATTTGGAGTCCAGCTTTACAGCTGTTCCTTCTCTCGCTAGTGGAGGGAACAAATCCCCCAATACCCCTGAAACTTTGCGAGATCACCAATCCATGGCTTGGGCCCATCACTAGTATCTATGTTACTATGCAGGTGAAGCCAAAGCAATGATCTAAGGGATTTGTTTGTGCAAGATGCAAGATGCATCAGCTGCATCAAATTATTATTATAGCTGTTAGGGAAAAGTATCCGTAGGTAGATATTACTGTGGGTTACAGGATTTATCAGATTCAGGGCATTTCCTACAATTGTGAATTTCAACCCCATAAGGTTTGACTGTCTTATAGGTCCCACAGCCCCATAAAGAAGGATCCAATGCTTCCTTCCCCCGACCCCTCACATCAGGGAGAGATGGAGCAGAACTCAGGGGCGGACGCATGTACCTAAGACTGTGGATTACAGCATGGACACCACATAGTTGGAGCTGGGGAGTAGTAAGTCTATGGAGAGCATTCTCCTTGAGATCCTGTGAATTTCCCACTGACCATCACTCCAGTTCCTAATGTTGCTCAGAGCAGAGTTACCTCCCCTTGTCCTCCATCCCCACAAGGGGGTGTGGTCAGTGTATATGCTCAGTAGAGGACCAATTGGCTATGCTGCCAGTGGGGAAAGAGGCCAGGGAGCAAAGGCTGGCACAGATCCATACGTTTAGGCCTAGTATTCACCATGGATCTTAAGGTTCTACATGAGTGAGAGACGGCTCCTTTCTCACACACCTTGAGCATGCTAAGCTCTTTCCCCAGAGCCAAGAACTCTTCCTGTTGTCAGAGCTCCTCTCCTCCCTTTTGCAAGTGGTTGTTGATGCTGCTATTAATTTCTACTGTGGTAGTGTCTAGGGACGCCAAGCAGGGATCAGGGCCCCATTCCACAAAGCACTGTCTAAGCAAATACCACAGAGACAGTTCCTGCCCCAGACAGCTGACAATCCCCTAATGGGAACACCTTGCTCTCAATTCTTTTTTATACCAATCCTTGGGAGCAAACCTTACACTCCTTTTGGTCTTAAGCTGACATGCTGCTCCCCCCACCCTGCTCAGGGTCCTTTGTGAAGTTCAGCACAATGGCCACATTCTACCAATATAATCGCCTGCCAGCTCTCTCTGCATCAGACCATTTCTAAAATCTTCTAGCTGCAGTCACGATCTTGGCATTCAGCCCTGCATGATGCTGGCTGGATACCCTCAATTCCTATTGCTAGAAAGGGGAAGTTGCAGGTGCTTAGATCTTGGCAGGATCACTTTGTAGGACTTTGGGCCAGAACCTGAGATGGTGCAAATTGGTGCCACTGGAGCTGCACCAATTTACATCAGTTGAGCATCTGGCCCAGAGCTCACATAAAGGTGGCAACTGATAAATTCCTTAGTTCATGTTTCTCTTCCTGGGCATGTTTTGGCTTCCACGGGATGTTGAATGTTGCAATGTGACAACGGTTTCATTCCAGGGTCTGTGTGTGTGTGTATAAATATATATGGGAACTGCATATAATTTCAAGATTTGTATGGATTTTTTATTTAAACCAAATGTAAGAACTGCCATTAGTAGTTTGCACTTGCTTCCCCATTGCCTGAGACTTTGCAAATGTCTTACAGTGTCATATTACTAATCATTGCTAGAAGACTAAAAAAAAAAAAAAAGAATAGATATTGGCTCAAATAAGCATGTGTTGCCTAATTTGAGAGAATCAATACGAAGAGGAAATCCAAGAAAGACATGTAATAATGATGCTGAAACTGAACCTTTCGTCTCCATGGTTACTGGAGAAATGGGACCAATAATGGAGAGAGGCCTATAAACTGTGGCAGGAGGGCTCATGGGAATTCCAACTCATTTA